CCCTCAACAAAATTATGCCACAGCATAAAAAGCAGAGCACTATGGTGGAAATGGCCCACAAGCTGTACTTCACAGCCTCTCTTCATGAGCAATGTCAGAAATTGGCATCAGCACCAGCAAGACTGGTTCCGGTGGCAAGAAATCACAATGCCATAGGAACACTGCCAGATGAGGGGACATTTAACAGTGTCTTCCAATATCTGATATCCCAAAGGAGATACTAAATACAATTTTAGTCTCTGCTAGATTAACAAATGAGTCTGAGCAATGCAAATTTGCTCTCATATTTTATAATACGGCACAGTTGCATCGAATTTTCAAACCACTCTAAAGTTGTCCAAATTCTATTGAATACACTTCATTAATACAGAAAGCGTTTGTACCTCCTGCCTAAAAGAATAGTGAATAATCACTACACTGTACTCTATTCGACATGGCCCAATTGGGCGTGTCACTGCAGTTTGAGAAGACAGTAACTGTTATCAACAAACATACCTGGTAGCCACAAATACCTGGCAAGGAGCCAGAATTACTGCCACCATCATGGTAGCACAAGAGAAGGGCAATATACTTCTTCCTACACATGCACCACTCCGCACAGAATTACAGTCTGCTACTACCAACTGCAAAGTTGACCCAAGGGCAGGACATGTTTCCTCAAACTGCTGAGGTTAAACCATTCAGTCCTATTTAATCTGTTAGAACCATCAGTGCACTGGCAGCAGAATGGAACCTGAAAATCCTACCAGATTGGGCTGCAATAACTGGTAAACCTGGTATTTCCAGCCTGCAGTCAAAACAAACAGGAGAATAAAAATCACAGCCCTTTTTACTTTTTTTCTCTTCTTCTTTTTTTTTTTTTTTAAGTAGCAGTCAAAAGGCCTCTTGAAGCCTTGCTTATAAGCAAACCAGTCTCAAAGGCTGGATTTGCATTGGCAGGGTTTGTAGCCTGCAAAATAAACCTTTCTAGGTAGTGTTTTCCTTCTGCCTATAAGGGAGGAATGGTTTCTGGTATAATTTCTCCCAGACTACATCCCTTTCAAACTACACTGAAGAAAACGCCTAATTCAACACAGCTGGCCTCACCAAGCTTCCCTGGGAGCCCTTGCACTCTGGGCATGCACCTGCAATCCTTCCTTTAGGAAGGCAATGAATGGTAACACACAATCTGACAGCCTATTGACAGGGTGAAATCACTACTGCCATTCAAAAATAGGAGAATGTACAGAAGCTGTTACTTAGTTGCAATTTCTTTGGCAGAAATCACTCCATTTGGGCCATAGTTTATGTTCTAGTACAGTGGATACCACAAAACATCCTTAAAAAAGTATACTTTAACCAACACTAAGGTTCCAACTTGAGTGCCAAGTTGCAGTTTGAAACAAATTCTATGAACAAGTGATAAAATTCCTAGAAAAATGGTATTCAATTACCTATAGTTTTTTCTCCACAGTCCTGTGTTCTCCATTCTCCAATGACCTTTGTGCTACTAATGTTTTGCATATAATAGTGATTAAGTGAACTAGACCACCAGTTGTGCTCAACTTTTACTCCACCCATAACCGGCTATTCTAATCAAGGGCCTCTGGTAAGAAAACTGCACTTTGGCTTCTGAAAATTATTATTGTAATAGGAAAGCAAGAAAAATTATAAAGCATCTGTTGAAATTTCAACTGTGAGAATAGCGACTTTCCATGCTTTTAGAAACTTCATTCTTTCAACACTCCTAGTGAACAAAGCAGAAGCATTTACTCTACTACAATACATGCACTTCTTTAAGGTTCTAAACTCTTTGCATTTCAGCCAAGCTTCATGTACCAGAAAGAAATTACATGATTATTTGTTAATTAAGGTTTGGGATCTTAATTTGCAAGGAAGATTTCAAAGATGCAATGAAATTAACATGAGCTTCTTGTAAAAGACATCCCTAAAATTTCCTCTGGTAGATGCAGACATTAGGAAAAAAACTTGACTTCTTGTAATAGGTAACTTCAAAGGCACTTCTTTCAGTTCTGCACACAGTTCTTCCGCATGGGTGGTGCACGCATCCTCTCAGGAGCTCACTGCCAAGACTTGGACTACTCCCTCATTTTATGACTATAAATGTATCATGGAAGATCACGTGGCCAAAAGACATCCAAATGATTCTGCTGCATTTACTTGAACACTGGAGAGTAGACTAAAAAAATGTATCCCGTCACATCATGGGTGTACATCTGGTCACACAACAGGAAAGCACAAGCAGTTTGCAACATGGAACTGAATGCATAGGGAGACCCTTGCTCATATGAGATGCTGGGCAGTTGCATTTTTGCCATGTCATGAGAGAGAAACTGCGAGGACAGGACTGATTTGTAGAAAGTCCATCTGACCTGCAGACCCCCTTCCTGGCCCACGTCTAGCCAGGTTGGGCAATCCTCCTTTGCTGTTCTGCATCTGAAATAGCAGCCTTCACCAAGGAAACTGACACCTAGGATGTGGCTTTCTTTTCAAAAAACATTTGGACACACAAGATGCTATGACATACTTCATGTGCTGAGAACAATGAGCACAATGCTCAGAAGTTAACTGAAAGTAATGCACCTGTACAGCACATATCTAAAAGGAAAAAGGATTCTTCATCTTGATGAAATCATCACTTGTAATCCCAGTGAGTGCCTGAACACAATCTCTACCCCTTCACTTACCTCACAAAATGCAATTTGTAGTCCCACCTGATACACTCTTAAGAGTGTCCTTCTGAAGTTTTTAAAGAATAAAGCCTTGGAAATTTCCCAGCTCCCTTTTCAAAAGAGTTTACAGATTCATGCACCATCACATTCTATGATGGTTCAATACCTGACATTGCACAAAGGGGAAATAAGGCTATTAGTGAAAATATCACAATCTGCAGACTTGAAGAGACATGATCAAAACCAAGATACATGGGATACTCGGGGACTGTCTGAGCTATCAATAGAATCAGAGTGACTCAGCAGAAGGTAATGAGAATCTTCAGTTCTGTATCAATACTGGAGATAAAACACGTGGGGGAATAAAACAATCACACACAGCAAAAGATCACGCACAGAGGTGCTGCCTGGAGTACTGCGCAGTGCTATATTTTAGAACTCACTGAAGAAACGGCAAGTCATCTTACAACCAGCCAATACATAAAAAAGGTTTATCTCTATTCAAATCCATGCAGCGAGATCACTTAGATGTGTTTCAAATAGCAGTCTCTATTCTTCTCTATTCCTGATATTTATTTTTCACTTTCAGCCTCCTACTGATATGGCATGTCACTAGAAGCATCTGACAATTTCCAATGTGCTCATTCATTGCTGTGTGCTGCTTGAGCACTTTCTCCATTCACCTTTATTCTTACACCAAGACTGTATTATCAAGCCTGAAGTTCACTGATCATTGACTGCTTAAGGCTTAATTACTGTGCAAAAAAATGAGCAAACACCAAGTCTTTTAAATGTCAGCCAAACAGTACCAGCACCTTCCTCCCCACCCCCACCCCCAACAATATGAATGTTTTCAAATCTTCCAAAAAAACACCAAATTGATATATCTTCCTACCCAGCCTACTTCATGAGCAATAAAAGCTGCATAGATCCTGTGACTTGCATACTTTCAATTGGTTAAAAGCTTCCGTAAATGTCTATTAACATTTTACAAGGATAAAAAAATCCAAACCTGGAAGTTTTTACAGCCAAACCTGGCTGATCCATACTTAGTATTGTAATACACAGCCTCACATGATGGCATCAAAAAGCTTTAATTATCTGCAATATTACAACACATTATTTGATGAACCACTGACCTATTAATCTAAACAAAACAAATCACAGCACTGCTAGCTGAAAAAGAGGGCTGAACTCATTCAAGCTGTAGGAGACTGTGAAGCAAGGTCTACAGCAGCATGCTGAAGTATCTAGTAGCTCTTCAGAAGCTACAAAATTTTCACATAGAAATCCTGAAGTACTCTGTAGAAAATTTCAAAAACTTATACAAACACTGTGAGCTGCCAATAGAATTCAAAAGAAAAATAGGAAAAAGTTCTGGCACTTAGCATCTTTCATCTAAGTATTCTGAGGAGCTTTATAAGCACCAGTACCAGAAAAGGTTTAAGTAAATTATACCCATTCTAGGGCAGGGAAATTGGCACACTAGGCATTAACAAAGCAGTGAAGAAAAACTAGGAATTCTGATGCCAACCACCTAGCTGTTCTTATCTTCAGATTATGATAGTTCTAATAAGAACTGTGTAACTCCAATAACGTGAATACAGAGATTAGAGTAGTATATTATTTGTTATCCTCCATTGTAATACTCATGGTTTTCTACAGCCATATGGGAGTGTCCAAAGAAGAAAGTATTTCAATAAAACAAAGAAACATGAGAAAGTTGTTTTATAGAAATTTTAAACAACTCCATACATGGGAAAATTAACAGTCATAGGCAGAAATAAAAATTTTGTGGTAATTTTATTTTAAAGAATAAATATTTATTTAGCATAAAAATATTCAGCTCATTGTTTTTTAGTATCAAAGTTTTGATGAAATTGACTGAACAAATTCCAGGCCCTGCCTGTGTTAAACAGGAAACTCGTCTTACACTGCTTGTTATTTCTAATTCCCATATGACAAGTTTTACGATATCTACATGATTAGGGCAGGAAGAAATCTGAATTTGTTATACCACCAAAAATGGATCAGGATTAAATCACCATATTTTTCAACAAGAAAGGAATCCGATCCATCTTCTTCAGTAGTTTACTACCATATGTATATATATACACAATTATATTTTTTTCCCTGAAGCTGTTTAACAATGAAGACATCAGCTTTTAAGTACTCTAACATGAACAGTCACCACAAGCAGCTTATTTTTCCACTGAAAAGTTAGTATCAGACACCAGTCTTACTTATCTGATACAAGAAAAATATTCCTGGTTCAGTGGCTATGTTTCTACCAAACACAGAGAGAAAAGGAAGAAATGCTGTACTTACTTGTTAAAAAGATTCAGTCCAATCCTATAATGGCGTTTCCTGATAACATCATTACTGAAGGCAGGGGAATCCCAGCTGTTGCGAGTTTCTTTGTGGTATGTTTGTTTGCTCAAGGTTTGCTCCCTTAGGCTGTCTCTAGAGGAAGATTCTGAGCTGCAATTTATTGTATCATTAGAGTTGGAAGTGCTGTTGATACTGTCATTGTCTCCATCAGAATAATCGGACTCTGATTTGCTTTGCCTGTTTGCTGTACCATTGATAGCTAAATGACTATCTATAGGCCTAGCCCTATGTCTTGCCTCCTGTTCCTCTCGGGATATAATCTTGGCAGGAATGCTGTGAGGAATGTGTTTTGGGCTTCCTTGTTGACTAGTGATCCCTCGGTCATACGCATTTTGTCTCTTTAATGAGCCTCTCTCCGAGCGGTCACTCAAGTCCACTGAGCTGTCACTGGGTGGCTCTATAGTTAGCAATGGTAGATGATCCATTCTCATCCTCTGTTCCTGACATTCCAGTGACGGGGTACTCCTGCAGCTTGTATCAGTGTCTATCTTATTATCATCTTTGTGGGTCATGGACCAGTACTCTTGAGAAGAGTTCACGGACCGGAGCCTCAAATCAGATTCTGTGCTGGACGGTCTGTCTACTGACTGGGAAAGTGGGAGGGGCGGAGATAACTCTTCCTCATCAATATATAATGTAACATCACTGTATGATGCGGTCATCTCATCAAGCTTCCTGTGATCCACATTGTGAATTGCTGGTTTAGTTTGAGCACAACTATCCCTTTCCATTTCGCGACTTCTGACTTGATCCGGAGTCTGGACTTCATCAGAATGTAGGCTACGGCAATTCAGTGCATCATCAATGGATTCTGCAAGGGATTTCACTTGCCTGGAAAAAGCATCCTCCAGTTCTGTTATAGCATCAGCAAAATCAGTAGATGCTGCTGGTGACTTCATTGTAGCTGACTCTCCAAGGTCACTACATTCAGACTGTACCAGGGATCCCAGCTTTGACCCATCATTTGTAACAGAAACTTGTTTTCCTTCAAAGTAAGAGCTGTGGACTTTCTCAGGTCCTTCAAAGGAAAACTGCATTCTCATATTGGACAGTACAATGCGTCTTGACATACGATTTTCAGACATAGAACTTCTAAGACGCTCAAAATTTTTGTTCATCTGATATTGGCGAAAAGCTGTTTGTATAGTACGAGCAGCATGTCTAGTTATGAGACGGCCTCCATATTTCCGTTCTAGCATTTCCACCTGTGAAAGGGTGAACACAATTATTTTGTAACTTGATGCAACCTTGTTAGAACAAGGTTAAAGTACAAAAAAAAAAAAAAATTCTTTTAACAACTTTAATTTTTAGACATTTTTCAATGTATATACTGTTTTTGAAGGTAAAAACTCAAAGCCCCAGACTAACAACTGCACAAATAGTGAACCGAACAGTCATTTGCAAATCCCATCATTAAAATACAGACAAAAATTTGACTATGTAAATACTGTGATATAAAATTAATGTTTTGGCAATTTATGTGTGTGTGTGTTTAAATTTTGGGGTTTTGCACATTAGCATTGGTGTGCCTATGTCAAAGCAGACAAGATAGCACTATAATGCAGCATAATGCAGTCATTCTTTCTCTGTAGGGACAACTGCAGAGAAGTGAAATCCAAGTATGATGCACATTGCCATATTTTAAGAGTAAATTATAAAAGTGTCCATCACCTTTCCAGGCATGCATCGCTTTCTGCATGAATAAAAACCAGGTGGCATTGTTTCACCCAGACCTGATATCAAAGCAAAACTGAGCCTCCCAGACCATACGTTTCCAGAGAGGTTTCTCTGACAGAATCTCCACACACACAGTCTTCCTCAAACCAAGAGCATATTTCAGACTTTTTAAATACAAATTCAAATCTATTTTCATTCTTGTAATTACATACAACATTGCCAGTGTTTCCAATTAACAGAACGAATATGCAAAATAAAGACATTGTAAATGCCATCAATTTAACCTAGTGAAAAAGACACGTCAATACTTTTGGAATACTCATTAGGTATTTTCAAGCCTTTCCTTCCAAAACATGAAAATGCTTATGTAAAAAATACTGAACAAGATCAATAACTAGTTTTATTTCAATTGTTTCCCCAATATTTAATTTCTGTTCTGATTGGTCTTTGCTGGATCCACGTTATTCATAAATGCAAAACATCCATGACAAATCAATATGTTTAGTACTACAATCAAACCCACCATTTTTCTGGCAGCATTTTTGTATAAGTCCATGCAATTTTCATAATACTCCAATGATTCAAAAGTCACTTCTCACTTGAAAATCCAGGTACCCTTTTTCATTAGACACCATGTTTTAATTACTTATCTTATATGCACATGCACACACAACCTCTCCCCCTCACATTTTGGAGATCTCCCCAAGTAAATGTTAAGTTCAGATATTGATGTGCAGAGGGGCTTCATCCCCCTTCTATGGAAGAAACCAAATGCTACTAAAAAATATTTTCTAGTCCATTATGTCTACCATTTGGGAGTAATTGATGTACTTATTTCAGTGCTATTGGCAGGTTCAGCATCTCCCATTCCCCTTCCACATTAAAGATGATCTCCTTTTTGGCTCACTGTTTCAAAATGTGAATCACTGATTATTTTATCTTATTTTTTTAATTCTCGATGCAAAAAATACTATGCACAGTTATTGGCATAAATTGAGGAGGCTAACTTCTCAGATGGGCTCAGATCAGGGTTACTCATAAGGAATTGTTCTTTCGACTGTATCTTGAAACTTCTTTTAACTAAGCTCAAAAAGCTGTGACTGATTTCTGAGCTGGGAATCCGTAAATCTCTGCACAGTTTTCTACAGTTTGTCTTTAAAACAATTGTTTAGCCTTTCACCCCCAAATGGGGGTTATATTACCTATGGCTATGAGGTTACTTCTAAGGCATTCTGAAGATTAAAAAAATTAAGACCTTCTATCACAACCCTGCCACTGCTGCCACACGTTTGCTACTATTTCTATCCCTAGTGTACATTATGTCACGTGTGTTTAAATAAATTGTAAGAGATTATTTTGCTGGACTAATCTCAAAACAAATGATGAATTCTCAGTTTAGTTCTCCTCTCAAAATTAAATGTCAAACCTGAAGAAAACTAGCATAGCTGGTGTGAAAGAATAAAAGAAAACCTAATATTCTATAAAATAAATTACATGGACTTTATTCTTGCAAACACGCTGTTGTCCTTCAGGTTTACAGAGAAAATATCATCATCATTGATTATCATAAATTATGGGGTTTGGGTGGGAATTTTAATTTAGAGTATTTTGGAATTTGCCTAGATGATTTACTAGACTTGTGACTAATATTTCTAATAAATTGTAATGCATATTTAATGCACCTTTTTAATGCATATTTAATGCACATAGCCTTTATTTAAAGCCTTGGACATTTTCCTAAATAGTTTTTAAGTATCTTCTGAGATTTCAGTGAGAGCTTTTCAGGAGCAGTAAGCAACTCTTCAACATCAAGCTTCCTTTATGTGTCATTATCACTTTTTATTGCATAGGACTCCCTGAACAAATACAAAATAACATCTGCAGTCCTCATTCTCTATCAAACCGGCATAAAAGGACAGATGGAATCAGGCTCTGTGGAATATCTGCAGCGCAGGAGACCTCTTTAAGTAAGCCTTGCACTTTATATCAATCCCTTATGAGACATCTAGCAAAAATGACTGCCAAAGGTGGAAAAGGAAGTAACATTTTAGATTTCACAAGGAGGTCCAATTTAATAGCAGAGCTGGCATAATCTAGATCAAGAATCAGGAACTTGATAAGTCCCTCTTCAATACAGAAGTTGGTAGGCATAAAGGCTGTACTAAACTCATACTTGCTATCCCAAATATTGGCTTCAACTTTAAATCAGAGCTCAAGCTCTGTTCTTCCAGGTTTCTCTGGAACAACATTATATGATTCTCCCACCTGAAATTTCAGAAAAACAAACAGATGGGACTGTGAGACTTAGCCCCTATAAATTTCACTGACTATCAATGTGTGGTCCAAAATCAGGAGCAGTTTGCTTCCTGTCTGCAGAATTTTGCCTGCTTCCACTTTTGCCATGTTAACATACAAGTTGGAGTGACTATGCAATATACCGCAATGATTCACAGTGAACAAAATATTCTGTGGGAAGAAAGATCTCTAACAAAAAAAAAAAAATCACCAACCAAAACCCATTGATGTATTGGCTACTGTTCATCTGTCAGTGAAATCCAGTGCATCCTGCATATTTTCTTACCTTAAGCTATTACAGCATCATTTTCAAATGATAAATATTAACTTATATAAAAATAAACATCTTTGAAATAGGACTACATTCAGAATAAAGGTTAAAAGGAATGGCTGAGGCTGACTGTCTTACAGTAGTGCCTTTTTAGGGACAAAGGCTTTGAACTCCTACATAGCTTCCATCCAGTTCTTTGTAAAGCATATGGAAGTTTTGCGTAGCTGAGTAAAGCCAATTAAGACCTTGAATTCACCCCACAGATATGAGAAATTATCAGTTGCGGTACGTTCTTCCTTTCTTTCAGCAACAACAAAGATATCCAGGTTTCAAAATTACTCATTTTCTTAGAAAAATATTTTGCGCTATTACATTCTAGCACTTGTCCCAAGCATGAAATCACAATTCCTAGAACTGTTTTTACTTTTAACAGTACTAACATACCTTTTACGCCCTTTTTCAGGAAGGGAGGAAGGTGTATGGGGCACAGGGATGACACAACACAGAAAAAAGTCAAAAACCTCAGAAATGCTGATGTATGACTATTTTGAACTAAGTTGGTCACAGGAAAAAAAGTATTTTCAGTATCACAACTGAAGTGATGCTAGAAAAGATTTTTCCCAGCTTACAGACATGTTCCCATTGCCATAAATTAGGTAACAAAGCTCAAATACCTGCTTATCTTGTAGGTCTGAAGAGAGTTCATAGCTCTCAGAAAGTGATCTTGACCTTTTAATAGCTTCTTCCTCTGCTTGTTTTCGCAGTATGGACGTTGAATGCTGAAGTTTTGGCCTCCGAGATCTTTGTTGTCCAGGGGAGACAGAATACAGCCCGTAAGCAGAATGATCGTAATGGTCTGGACTTATAGCTGAACTGTGTGTTATAGGTCCTTGATGGTAAGTAGATGGGCTATCCAAAGATGTGCCAGTTTCACTGCTTGGAGCTTCACCCTCAACACTAGACAGAACAAAAAGACAGAAAAATACTCAGGTAAGTATTGTATGCCAAAATTCTCAGCAACAGATAACACAGTTTTGCTCAGTATCATTTTAGGTAGACATCCAACACATTTTGTTCAAATTCATATGAGGGTAATGTGGCTTTCATGTCAAACACCATAGTTTTCACTGTAATCTAAGGAAGTCTCTATTCTGTTGCAGAGGTCATCTTTAGAGCATGAGTCAAGCAGGAGAATGGAGGTTTCAAGCATTATTTAACTTTATAAACTACCAGTAACATCCTGAGTAAGCCACTCAGCAACCACTGTGTAAAATAAATGAAAACTTTTAATTTCTTGTAAGACTGCTCATTTCCAAGTTGTTCTACTTCAAAACGATAGATTCTTATCTGTGTCTTTCCTCGCTTTGAGAAATAAAAGCAATACTTTCTTACTGTTATATTACAGTTTGACATAAAAGGATTACTTTCATGTTTCTCAACAGAGACTTGGGATTTTATGGATCTTGTGAGCTACTATGTTTCTAGAAACTGAAGTTGGGAAAAAGTACCTACAGGAGAAATCTCATTTATTTCTCTGTTAGTGAAAGATTGCTCCCATGGGATACTTTTGGCATGCTTTCTATTATGGAAAGAAAAAAACCCTTTATATTAAAAGAGTTGTACACAGTAGGAAACATTTTGAGTCCTAGTCAAGGTTTATCCTGAAGTAGTGATGACTAATAGTAATTTGTATTTGTTTTATATTTACAGTAGGGCATTCTCACATTGCTATAGGGTATGTACTTTCACTCTTCCATCTTTTTCATGTTTCACATAAATCCTTACTATCTGCCTCATCCTGTGTACACAGAGCACTGATAGAAAAATGGAATTTTAATTTTTTTTTAATCACTCAGAAAGCTTAGTAAACACTCCACACATGCACGAATATAAGTATTTGCAGCACTTTCCCTACCTTTTGTTTTAGGAACAGGTACATCCAAACTCTAAAGGAGTAAAATTCCCCGTTTCCACCACGCCCTGTATTTCTTATTTTGCTTTCACTCACATGTATACGAACATAAAAAACAAAGCCCTCCTGTTGCCTCTCAGAAATGAAACGCTGTGACCCTTGCTGCATACACATACCACAGTAGTCCCTTCAACAGTTCAAAGTACAGACCGATTTCTGAAAGAACGTTCTCCACCGGACCGCAGCGCCAGAAGAGATCAAGGTTAACACTGGCAAAACTCTCCTAGCTTGAACAGCGTGTACTTTTTAAAGTGAAGGAGAACACCCCCCACCCTCCCGCCCCCGCTTAGATTTCTGAAAATGTTTCTATAAACATACAAAACTGAAAGCAAGTCCTCTTTCTTTGCCCATCAAAATATGACTCTACCCGAAAGGTATTTTCAAACATACTTTACCCAAGCTGGAAATATTTTCAGTGTGCACACATTACTTTTTCCAAAAAGGAAGTTGACAGGAAACTAATCCCTTTCCCTCCCTGATACAGCTGGCTTTCAAGTTAAAAATGGTAAATTATCCAGAGTTTTGCTAGTGACATTGAAACTGTGTAACCACTCGTTAAAAACAAACAAATCCTTCTCTCTAAAGTATCCATTAAAGAAATTAGAAGGATACAGAACTGCTTCACATTCTCTCTTTAAATACTGAAGTATGTTCCTCTGTTCTGCTAACTGTGAGGCCACACCATTTTGTACATCACAGGTTCCTAATTACGAGCTTATTTGTAAGTACTTTTCATACAAGTATGGTAAATTTGTTTTTAACAGCAAGTCAGGAATTATCACTATTTCCCCCTTAGGTTCTGTGACTTTTTTTGCCTTCCTCGCCCTTAAATTGTGAGCTATTTAATAACACTTCCACATTGATTATTATCTCATGTTGACAATTTAATGATACCTTTAGTGGATCACTTAACCTTTTCATCAACAAAAAGGGTACTGCCCTAATCAGAAAAATTTGGAAGGGGGTCTACCTGAGGCTCTGATTAAATTTAGGGGTTTCTTCTAGTTTGTCTTTCATACTTTTTCCAGACATAAATATGATCCTTGACTGGCTGTAATGCTTGATCTCATTTTGCTCATGGGCCCATTCCCTGCCATCACACCTGACCTTTGAAGCAGGGAAGTAATTATCTTTTACAACAGGCAACCTCCTGCACAACAGTATGACAGCCCTTTAAAGCAAACAAGTCAGTATTGCATATGTGAAACCCTTCTCCCATTCAGCTCTTCTTGTCCGTTAGGAGCAGCTGAAGCTTCATAGGAGTTATTTCATAAAAATGAAACTCCACTGACAACCAAAAGCAGCTTGCTTTCTACTAGTTACTACTTCACATATGTTTGGAAAAGAAAAATATTTCAACAAATATGACTTGTGTGATGCTTTAAGGATGACAAGATGTATTGCTCCGCTATGGAGGAAGTGCACACAGAGCATCATGGAACAGGAATGTAGACTTGAGAATCATCCTGCCCATGTCTATTTTGAAAGACTGTATGCTATAAAGGGTACCTTTGCTTCAAAACAGACTCAAAACATGAGCCAGTCACTACAGGGTTACAAGGGCGGGTTTTATCTATCCACTTATTAAAAATGCCAGCACACAAAAATGTCAAGGATTCTGCTCCAGGCTTGCCACAAGAATTAGAACAAATCCCCCTATGACTAGGGGAGCAGTTAGACACTTCTCTAGCACTACTTCACTTCCAGTAGCCACCCTGCACACACCGTCTTTCTCAGATGGGCAAGAAATTAAGTACATTAAGTACACTGCAAAAATGGACAATATAACACTTCACCCAACCCCAACTAGAATTAGAAATAACTTCTTAATGAAGGTCTCCAATTTGAGGCATCTGCCACCTACTATACATGTCCAGTAGAATTACTGATAATTTCAGTGTTTAAAAAAAAATAATCTAGTGGGTAAATTTGGTTCATCCCCCTGCAACGTGCAACGGCATATTACTAGGGAACCTGGCAATATGTTGAGCATTCCAATTGTGTAGTATTAGGAGAATGCAAAACAGTTGAAATTAACCTTTCATTTTTAGAACTCCAATTGTTTTATCACACTCCTGTTTCAGCAGAAAATAGACATCCCTTATCTGCCAAGCCAGAAAAAGGTTGCTTGCCAGTATTTTACAAAGAAGCAGAAAATGGAGCAGCTAAAGAGTGAAAATGGAAATTAAATATTTAAAAATAATTAGTACTATTAATATGACTTTGCATGAACAAAACTTTAAAACAGAGCCATGGAAAAACTTTGTTTCTTTGTACACCTAAATTACTTTTTTGAAAGAGTGGCCAGCACTGACTGAATCAGTATTTCATCAGAAATTGACACTGGAAGTTTCTTCCTGCATAAACCTCAACTGGTAATACTGTTAAGAAACCCCCCAAACACCACTATATCAAGAAACAATAGGGAAGATGAAAAGCTTAGAGGAAAAATGGAAACAGACTGAGCACAGTATTTTTAACATATTTCAATGGATATGTAAAACTATTGGTGAAATCAGATTAATTTTACTTTTTCCAATTACTATAAAGCAGTATTAAATACCAAACATAGACGGATTCGGGCATTTTGTTTTATTTTGTGTGTGTATGGCTCTAGACTTCCTGCAAGAGCTAAGCCACATACTCTGCAAACACTTTTAAATTAAAATACATCAGCTGCACTGACATATGTGCGTGCAAGTAGGATCTGTTGGCTTCATCAGCAGGGCAGTAAGATAAGGGTCATCCCCGCAGTGCAGCTAACACTGTATTTACCCATGATGCACATTGTGCTCTAACAGCTACAGAATCAAAGCTCACTGCTCTGTCTGAATCAAAGACTAATACCAATGTGTAAGCAGTGGCTGCCAAAAGCTGCTTTTCTAACTAGTTTGCCTAGATGTCGAAGCTAAGTAACATGGTGCATGGCTCTATCTTTGGACTAAAGTAGCATACAATAGATTCAAGCTGATAAAATATGAAGTAGATGTTGTTGCTAGCTAGAAAATGGTCATGTGTTTTACAGTTATTTCCCACTATTCAGGTAATAAGTTAATTTCAAGAATTACCTAATAAGAAAAAGCTCTGTCTCCTCCTTCCTCTGTCTACTCGCCAAATGTAGTTGTGTGGTTAGCCATGACCAAAACAAAACATTTCCTTACTAGGCATTTTAGCAGCAGAAACCTGGCAGGTCTTTTCTTCCCCGTCTCTCAATTTATACCTTCAGTTATTACTTCTGATCACAAAGGCTGTAATTAGTAACCAGTACACTAAAACCACTATGATATTTTAAAACAACATATTATTCAGGATGCTTAAATATCTACTGTTATTCTTTGATTTATTTTTCATTTTCATTCACATCTTCCTCTTCCTTCAAATCTTGCCAAACTATTATCTTAGCAAAACCAAAAAAAAGCACAATAAAGAGAAAATTTTGAAAAACAAGAAAACTTCAACATTTGAGCTTAAAATGGAAACTGAGTCCTCAAGACCTAAATTTCAGCAAAGAGCACCCAAGCTTTTCCATGAGTAGACTTACTTGTTCCACTGACAATAATAGCAAAATGATCAGAGAAGCTGCAGGTTTGGTTCCACAGGCACAAGCATTTACCTCTCAGAGAGACTATACTATGAAAGAAAGAGAGATGATAACCAGAAAAGCAGAAATTCCCTTTTAACTGAGGCCCAGTACCTTATCTTTAGAACTACATGCATGTAAAGAGGAAGTATATAACAATACCGCCAGATGCACAGAATTATACAGTATTCCCACTCAGCCCAGAAACCTCACAGTTTACAAGTAGTGAAGTGTCCCAGTGCATTTGTAGGACTAAAATACAAAGATAATGGAACATATGCTTGCAGAAATCATCCAAATGTTCAAACCAGTATGTTGCAGATTTAGTTTGGAACTAAAAGCAACAAAGAAATACAACATGCTTCTAAATAATGTAAACGCCAAACCAAAACTGCATGCAACATT